TCAGCAGGACATGCTGTTTGTAAATCACAACATTCATTAAATATGATACTATTTTAAATGTAATTATTGGAAAAATAATTTTTTAAACACGCAACACTTACGATCCGACGCTATTTTTTCTGTTCCATCCAAAGGATTAATAATTCCTGGAATAAGCTCTCCAAATGACAAATGATCTATTCTATGAGAGAAGTTATAGGCTGAAAGACAATACAGAGGAATGAAACAACATTTTAAAACTATGGAATTCTGTACTCAGACAGAAAGATGCATCCATTTCTCACATTGGAAAACACATTAGTTAGAATATTACAAACATTGATGTGCATTTCTTTGGATCTGTGCCTGTGACTATATCAATACATCTACGTACGTGTTTCAAATAAAACTCAAATGCAAAATATTTAACGAAGAAATTGAATTTCTCTAGAAAAGAGCTTCTAAAACAAAGTATAACTCTATCTGGATCAATCCTGGAGCTGAAGAGAGTTAACATTTCATGACAGGAAATTTCTAGTTGGCCAAATACTTACATTATTCTACAGTTCAGGTTCTTGTATGTAATGGTATTAAACAGACTAAATTTCATAAATTAAACGTACAGAGGAAGCATAAGGTAACTTCCAAGTTACTACATTGTCTGATTCTGCAAAGGTATTTAAGATCTATAATATTATACACTTGTGTTAACATTAATTCATGGGCAGACATTTGAAAGTCTAACCAACATCAAGTTTGTTTTTCACAGTAAGTCACCCTTGCCTCACATTAAGTACAGCAGCAACACACATTTAGTATCCAGACTCATAACCTAAAAATGAAGTTTCTAAAGATAAAGGTCAGAAATTTTTAACCTTATAAAAATGGATTTTGCAGGAAATAGGTACTTTGGACTGAAATACAGGAATTTCATGTGGTATTTGTGCTACAACAAAGTACATCTGAGATTCCTGTGTTATCATTACTTAGAAGCAACCTAAACATAATACTAATAGTGTTAAACCTATGAAAGTAAGTCATTGCTGAGTCAGAACATTGCAAAGAATATTCTTGACTTTCTCCTACAATGCAATTGCCCAGCTAGAACATCTTTACAACAGCAACCTACATTAACATATTAATTAGGAGACAGCTGTCTGAACAAAATCATACTCGTTTGTGTGGAGGTGACAGAAAGAACTTACACTCATGGCTTACAAGGGCTGCCAAGTGTGCGTGGCCTCGAGGGTGTGGTATTGCCCTAAAGAAAGCAAGACGTGTTTTATGAAAAATTTGTTCAACGAATCCATACAAAATACACAGTTTTCCTAAACAGGACTACATAGAAAAATTACCTCTCCCCCTCTATTTCGATAAATACTTTACATATATATGTATATATAAAATAAGTGCATATATACATATTTTATATATGTATAACATAGCATATATATGTTTAAACAGATGTAACATATATTTGTTTTAGAAACTTACATATATATTAAAATTGTGTGTGTATCTATATAAAAAAAATATGACATTTTTATTACTGCCAAGTACAGACAGCCTGAATGACAAGGTACAGGAACGTTAGACTCATGAAAACTCTCTTACACAAAGTTAGTCTCTTGCGTTTTTAGAAATGTCAAAATCACACCAAGTCACTAGGCTACTAGAAGAGCCACTAAGGCCTACCACGTGAAAAGCTGCAGAACTGCTCAAGTAACCAACGAAAACTTTACTGTACTCGTTCTATGACTAACCAAGTTAAATATGCTCTGTGTTTGCTCCCTGACTAAGCAAGTTAACTTCAGGTCTGGACACTTGTTTGTAGACCTGCAAAGACAGTACAACGCAGAGGCTGGTAACAGCACAAAGAGGGTGGTGGAAAAAGTGCAACTCTCTCTGGAAAGAGAAACGGTCTCTCTGC